AGGCGGGGCCCGGGGCGGCGGGCGCGGGCAGCGAGTGAGCCCCAGGTGAGGACGCGGGGAGAGAGAGAGGGAGAGGTGGTGGGGGCCACCCGAGGGGAGTGAGTCAGAGAGAGCAGAGACGCCGGCCCGCCGGCCGGAGCAGGGGTGGGACGAGGCTCGGCCGCCAGGCGCACCCTCTCTTTGCCCCACGTGCACGAGCTAGGCCTCACCCCATCCCCTCGCAGTACCCAGTTCTCCGAGTTCATTCCTGTTACTGTGCGGTAAGCCCCCGGGGGTGGGGGCCATGCTTGTCCGGACCACATAATGTGCAGTGGGTACATGGCGAGGGGAATCACCCTCAATTCCTTCTCTTTCTCTGTTGTTCTTCTTCGAGACAAGATCTCACTGTGCAGCTCTGGCTGTCCTGGAACTTGATATGTAGACCAGGCTGGGCTCGAACTCAGGGAGTTCGGCCCGCCTCTGCCTCCTGAGTGCTGGGATTAAAGACGTGTGCCACCACTCCCGGAGTGGAGTTGTAGGCAGTTTTGAACCCCTGCCGTGGGTGTTGGCAACTGACCTTGGGTTCTCTCTCTTTCCTCTTTCCCTCCCTCTCTCTCCTTCTCTTTCTCTCAGAAAGAACTCTTAACCACGCCAAATTTTATTTTTAAATTATCAAACTCAGGTCATCAAGCTTGGTGGTTTTACCCAATGAGCTACCTTGCCTGGCCCCTGTGTTCCCCCTCCCTTTTTAAAGATTTACTTATTTTTAATGCGCATTGGTGTTCTGCCTGCACTATGTCTGTGTGAGGATGCCAGATCCCCTGGAACTGGAGTGATAGACAGCTGTGAGCCATGTGAGGGCTGGGAATTGAACTCAGGTCCTTGGGAAGAACAGCCAGTGCTCCCAACCGCTAAGCCATCACTTCAGCCCCTATATTCCCTTTCTTAAACACACACACTTCTTCAGCTTTCCGGCTTCTGCTCAAAGACTGGCTAGGGCTCTCTCTTGCCCTCTTATTGATCCCAGGCCACTTGCCAATGTGTGGAACCTCTGCTTTGTAGTTCAGCTTCTTTAACACTGTTTGTTTGTTTCTGTTGTTGTTTTTGAGATGGGTCTCTCTGTGCAATCCTGGCTGTCCTAGAACTCACTCTGTAGACCCGGCTGGCCTCGAACTCAGAACTCACAGATCCGCCTGCCTCTGCCTCCCAAGTGCTGGGGTTAAAAGTGTGCATCCCCCCACCCCCACCGTTTCACTTCTTCCACACTTTATCTGCACTTGTATCTCTCAGACCACAGACAGACAGCTAGCTGTCCTTTATAACCAGGAGGGCCCTTGCTGTCTGCCATCCAGCCAGGAAACTTGCATGTTCTTCAGGCATCAGCTCCCGCCTCTGCCTGCCTCTGAGTATTCATATTGTCTGAGTCGCTCCTGTGCCCACTTGGATAGCCATAAAGCATGTCTCTGCGAGCTGGTTCTCACACCTGACAGGAAGCCCTGTACCGGGGAAGCCTGAGTCTTTGGGGTCTTTGTTCCTAACACTACCCAGCAAAAACTGTGAACTCAGGAAAGGCTGAGAATGGGTAGGCAGGTGGAAGGATGGATCAATAAATAGATGGTGGATAAAATGTGTTAAAAGATGAATGGAAGATGGGTAGATGAATGAATGCATGCGTTTTAGTTGATAGATGGGTAAATGGAGCATGGATGAGTTGGCTGATGGATGGGGGGTGGTTTGGAATAGTTTATAGAAGAGCTGGTTGATGCATTGGGTGCGTGGGAGCAGAAGAACTAATGAATGGATTCACTGATGGATGGGTAGAATGGTGCATAGAAGGTTTCATAGGACTGATGGATAGATAAATGAGTTATGGTTTTGTTTTGTGTTTGAGACGGAGTCTTGCTGTGTACCCCAGGTTCACAATGTGAGGTCGTCCTCCTTCAACCTCAGATTAGTTAATAGGTAGATGTGATGGGTGAATGGGGGCGTGAATAGGTAGGGTTGGATGAAGAAAAATGGTTGGATGGATAGTTTGGGCAGGTAGACTTGAGAAAAAATGGATGAGTTTGTGGGCGGATGGGAATGATTGAATCCATTTCCTAAGTGGGATTTCTGTACAATAATTAAACCCGGGGCTGGAGAGGTGGCTCAGAGGTTAGGAGCACTCACTGACTGTTCTTCCAGAGGTCCTGAGTTCAATTCCCAGCAACCACATGGTGGCTCACAACCATCTATAACGAGATCTGGTGCCCTCTTCTGGCCTGCAGTCATACATGCTGTATACGTGGTCGGTAATCCCTATAATCCCAGCACTCAGGCAATCACAGGACGTTCAAGACCAGCCTAATGTACATAGTGGGTTCTAGGCTAGCCAGGACTGTAATAGTGAGATGGCTTCAAAACACCAAAACAGGGGCTGGAGAGATGGCTCAGAGGTCAACAACATGGCTGCCCTTGCAGAGGACCTGAGTTCCATTCCCAGCACCCACATGGCGGCTCACAAGTGTCTGCAACTCCAATTCCAGATCTCATGCCTTCTTCTGGCCTCTTCTTGAGGCACCAGGCACACGTGTGGTGCACAGACATACAAGCAGGCAAAACATTCATACACATAAAAAATAAATCTTAAAACACACTCACACATCGCCAGGTGGTAGTGGCACACGCCTTTAATCCCAGCACTCAGGAGGCAGAGCCAGGCGGATCTCTGTGAGATCGAGGCCAGCCTGGTCTACAGAGTGAGTTCTAGGACAGGCTCCAAAGCTGCACAGAGAAACCCTGAACCCTGTCTCAAAAACCAAAAAAACCAAAAACAAAAAAGCCCACACAATATTTAAAGACTGAACAACTATGCATGTGTGAAGCATGAACCAATGTTGGATCACAACATTTGACATATGCCAAAACAGCCATCTGTGGTTAAAATGGCTCTTGACGATCTTAACGCT